CTCTCCAAAGACTTTGCTGACCGATGAGTCTCATGTTTTCAGTACTTTAAATGAACTAGAGATGATCCCATTTGAGAAGGGTGTAACTTGGGTTATCTTTTTTTATTACTACAATTTACAGATGCCCCCTAAATGCATCACAAGCAGGCAGTCATAAACCCAGCAAAGGTCACTGAAGCAGCAACATTATCTCCCTGGGTTACGACGGGGACTGGTGACGATGTGATGCCTAAAACTGCTGCATTGTTTTCTGTGTGCCCTGTTTGCCAAGACCGGGAGAAGAACAGTAAGATCAGTGTTAAGAGTGGGATTATAAGCAGTGACAGCTTGGACTTGGACCATAGTTAAATTAGGTTTATGGTAGTTTTTAGCACTTAAACGTGAGGCTTGAGAATGCCATCCAACCATAAATCTATTTCCTTAAACACTTATCCAGTTTAGGGCCACAGGAGGGCGGAGCCTATCCTGTCACAGGGCAAGAGGAAGAGCACACTCCCTGGACAGATTCTTAGTCCAGTGCAGGGCCTACCACACAGACAGACAACCATTAATACTCACAGTCACACCTGTGGCCACGTCTCTGTGAGCTGCCAGAATAACCTAAGAGAACAAACTCCACATAGAAACTTTTACTGTGAGACAACAGTGCCTGGCTTGAAGTGCACTGATGTGGAATAAAGTCCTGCAGAGATGGGTAAACAAACACACCTGTGTTCCTGTGTGTGCTCCTGTCTCCATGCTGCACGTTAAGTGGTTCAGTTCATTTTGTGTGTGTCCGCTACTAAAAGTTGTCAAAGATAATAGTTTGTAGTGTTTTAACCCCAGGAGCAGCAAATCTTGTTTCCTTGTGCTTTCCCAGTGTTACTGGAAGGATTTGAAATCCGTGAATGCATTTCTTACATAGAGGAGCACATCAACAGACAGGTGAGTGTTCTTAAAAGAGTTCAGCAATAAACGCACTGCCAAAAAGTCTGAATGACTCTTTTCTCCTTTCTAGGTGTCCATGATAGAAAGTCTGCGGCTGCTTTGTCTGCTGTCTATCACAGAAAACGGTGAATCATCCTTCACTGATTCGTCACAGACTGTTGTCTTTCCTGTTTACAACTATTGTGATGCTGTTTTCCTGCAGGACTGCTGCCAAAAGACTACCGCTCATTGAAAGCACAGTATTTGCAGGTGAGGTACAACAAATCTCTGAGTATTTTTGTTGTGGGAGACAGAGATGGGCAGTACACGTTACAAGTAACGCGTTACTGTAATCCGATTACTTTTTTCAAGTAACGAGTAAAGTAAGGGATTTCTATTGCAAAAATGGTAATTAGATTACTGTTACTTTCCCGTAGGAACGCTGCGTTACTAAAACCGTGATATTTTTTTTTTTGCGAGAATGTCTCATGACAGTGACGTAAGCGAGTGCGACGTTCGTGGTAACAGCTGTGTGCAGATCAACAATGGATCATATATCGAGTGTGGGAGAGAGTATGAGCGTGCAGCGTTTAAAGCGTGGAAGTACTGACCTTACTTTGAGTTTGATTCCATAAAAAGTGACAAAAACATTAGTGTCCATCGTGCATGGGAAGAAAACTTCTTTTTACAGCGAAAAAACCCTAAACGTCCGAGCAAGCACCGAGTAGCTGCCACGTAGTGGGAAATTCACAGAGAAACTCGTGGATTCTTCCACTGACCGCTGCTGAAAATAGAGCAACAGGACCGCTGAGTCTTTTATTTTATTTATTTTCTGCTGTGTTTTACTTGCATCTATTTGAAGGAGTGAGTGTAAAAACAAAAAAAAATATTTTATTTTATGTGCAGGAATGTGCAGAAAATACATTTAAATGTTAAACAAATTTCTTCCAGTCAGAGAATGTTGCATATAATTAAATTTTTGCTTGATGCATAAAGTTTAAAGATTAAAACTAATAAAACAAGTTTTAAAAAGAGACTTTTTCATTTGATTACATTTTATATGATGGATTATGTAGAAAAAGTAGAATTGGGCTGAAAGATCTATCGATTTATAACCTATTCAGGTTGTAAATCGTGTTTTTAAAAAGTAACTAAGTAACTAATTTGAAAATAAGTAATCAGTAAAGTAACAGGATTACTTTTGGGGGAAGTAATCAGTAGTTAGTTACTGATCACTTTTTTCAAGTAACTTGACCAACACTGGTGGTAGAAGTACAAAAGCTTTTAGTGTCAGCATTTTTGTACCTTTGCTTGAAATGGTATTTTCTGCTGTTTATTTTTATTTCTTAATGCTATTTTCTGTTCATGTTTGCTGAAAAAAGATTCAAGTATACAAACAGCATGTAGGCTGATACTGGCCGTAAGGGATTTGTGCCAGAAAACACTCCTATCTGTCATTTTTGGAGCTCTTGGTGAATAAAAGTCCAATCTGTTTGTTGGAAGACCAGAACGCCGAGGAGAAACCCGTCTGAGATGGAGAAAATCAGGCTGACAGCAGAACTTCACACAAAGTAGCTGCACAGTTATAACACAGTTTCTACATTTGCCTGTTAAAGAGCAAACACACACACACACACACACACTTCTTTCTTTGCTTTGTGCGTGTTTTGTGCAGCTCAAATATGCCTGTAACCATCTCAGTCACCCTGTAATGTCTTCAAACAAAACAACCTTCACATTTCATCAAATGCAGCATTGTGTCAATGATTGTCTTGGAAAGAGCGGCTGCTTTCTCAAATGATGTTTGTATCTTTGTAACCTGAGATGACAATGAAATGTATTTTTTAAACAAAGACTCGGGACTTGTAGGCTCACAAATATCTGATTGTAAAAGAATCTGAGTTCAGCTTAAATCATCACTAAATTTTTCATTTATTCGTTGTGAGCTTTCACTTAATTTAACAGTCTGGCCCCGTGGGGAAAATAATGATACAGCCTATCCCTACACTGGAGCATGAAATGTAAATCAGTCTGTAACTGAACAAAGATCATTTCCTCCTCTTAGAGTAATGCTTTGGAGAACGTGCAGCGTCCAGCTGTTTGGGGACATCACAGGCTGTTGTCACAGATCTGATCAGGCAGCCTGTAGTGGCAGATTGCTCTTTGCTGCCAGCCTTGGCTTGTTAAGTGTGTGCTCATTTTGATAAAGAGCCATGGGTCCAATGCCTGACATTTTTCTCTGTCTGACCTCATCAGAGCTATGGAGTGGATCACCTGCTCACATTTTCCAACCTGAGGCAGCTTGGGCTGCTGGTCGAGCAGCAGCCGGGAGAGACGCTCACTGTAATGGAGAGCAAAGTGGGCAAACTGGTTAATGATAAAACTGCAGGTGACAGTGGCTTCTCAGCGCAGTTTTAGCCTTCTCCACTTACAGGAAACCCTGCATTGCTCTGTGCATCAAGACACACGTGCTGTTTGACTTTTCTTCTTCTTCTTTGTTTCCAGGAAAACTGACAGATGCCTTTTCCTCTCTGGCAAAGAAGAGCAATTTCAGAGCCTTGAGCAGAAAACTTAACTTGGTAAATTATTGTTTAGGTGAACATCTTTGGTTAGTTGTATTTGTGGACTCTACAAGAACAACTTTGTATGGTTCACGGTTCAAAATAAACCTTATCTATGGTGTACTGAGCCTTGGTGAAGCACTGTGTTCATCCTGCTTGGAAAAAAGGCTTTTAAAAAAATCTCCTCTCCTTGTAAAACATCCCTGTCTTTAATCTTTTTTTTGATTGGTTGGCCCAAACAGAGAAACGAGTTTTAAGTTGGGATGACCATATTAGCAGTGTCCTCTCAGTGACATCAGACAGAGCCACAAGTAAAAAAAAAAATCACTGTTTACTTCTTTCACATAGGCTGACCTCATGGTTTGACACTTTTAACGAGCATCTGCAATCATAACACTATGATATGACACAAAACAGTAACATATATTCTCTTTAATTAACTTTATTTAGTTTAAAAAAAAAATACAGCACATACTTTTCCTAAAGGCATTTTGTTTTTCATTTCTGATTGTGTCAAATGGTAACGTGCTCATCATATTTTGCATCAAGGTGCCAAAGACGGATGAAGAATATGACCTGCGTGTCCCTCGAGACATGGCTTATATCTTCAGTGGTGCCTACATCCCTCTGAGCTGCAAACTCATCGAACAAGTAAGTCAACCAGGACACATTCAGTCTGTGGATATGATGGGGGGGCAGCCATGGTACCTTTAAAATAAAATTCTATTCCCGGTATATAGGTGCTGGAGCGAGACGGTTGGACGGGGCTTGAAGAAGTCACCAGGCTGCTAAATGGTCATGAATTTGCAGTTACAGGTTAGTTCAATGGCAGGTATAATGGATCCGTTTGAGGCTAATGCTAAAACAGAAAAGGAGACTGTTGTAACAGATGTCTAACAGATTTGATCACTGTTCTCCTTCTCTGATCAGGGAGCAGCGGCGTGGATTCAAGGGGAAAGAACGACACTCAGCGTATCATACTGGTCATGTTTCTTGGTGGATGCACCTACTCTGAGATTTCGGCCCTTCGGTTCCTCGGTAGAGAGAAAGGTAAACATTGTGATGGTGTGTAGGGCCACTTAGGTAAAAATAAAAAATGTGAAAAACATCTTCTGAAATGGGAGATGTATTTCTTATTGTATTGTTGAAAAGCAGAAAATAACAACCGCTTCTATTTTTTTCTCTCAGGTTATAAATTCATTGTGGTTACAACTGCAATTACAAACAGTTCCAGACTCCTGGAGGCTTTGCTGGACAACCACGTATGAAGCCTGGCAGCACTTCATTATGGACAGAACTGCTGAGGAGCCGCTATGCATTCCTCCAACACTGGCATTAAAGATAAAGAAATGCTTCATTCTGGTCTGTTTCTGGTGACGCGAGAACTGTAAAGATGTGTAAAGTGAATAAACGTTTCTTAACATCTTCGTTGGTTTCTATGTAATCGCGTTTACCGGCTGCCCGGCTCTGCTGTGAGTTCATCAGTTTAAAATTAACTGCAGTTTCTTCTGTTCTACTACGTGACGTCAGCGCACCGTCCGTGCGATCGTTGCGTTTGTTTTCTTGACGACGTGCAGTTCATTGCATGCAATGGGTAGAAGAAACCCTGGCGGCCCGATGTGGTGTAACAAAACGAGCGCACTGGCAGCACGGGCCAATCGGAGAGCGGGACGCTGCGAGTCGCGTATTTTGAACTGTGTACAAACGGACTGGGCGCAGGAGAGAGGCGGCCGTCTGAGGCTTGACTTTTCCACAGGTGTTTTAAACGGTTTTTACCTGTAATTGTAACGGGCTCTGGAATTTAACGATGAGGAAAAGGTATGTTTAAGTCTCTTTGTTTCTCGCAGTGGAGTCAGTGTTTGTAAACTATATATTGGGCTCTTAGCAGCTTACTGTTAGCTAATGTCAAAGGCAGTTCGTAATTGATGTGTGCGTGTTCCACAAAAATCCTGTTATAATGTTACGAACGGCTGGATTATCGATAGCTTGTGAATCCTGTATTAATAAACGACGGAGTCTCCTGCGTTTGTTTTTAGCGAGGTACTCGCAGCGGAGGCTGTGTCGTGCCTGAATAAAGCGCTGTGCCACCTGAAGGACATTTGGGAGGAGATCGGCATCCCGGAGGACCAGAGACTACAGAGAACTAATGTAGTCAAAAGTCACATAAAGGTGAGACCATTTCACATGTAACAGTATGTGTAACCTCTGATCACTGCTGATGTGTCAGTGACTCAAATGCACCTGCTGGATTGTGACCGGGTTTAAGTTTTAGGCTAATGGTGTTTCACGGAGTCTGGGTCCTATCATGATGTAGGATGGTGCAGGGTGCTTTGGGTGAGTGTAAATCTGAATGACAGCAATAAAGAAGGATGGGATTGATGCTTGCATTCATTATGAGCGAAACGAGACTGGAGACATTCAAAGAATCCGGAAAATCTGCAACAGCAAAGGTAGTGGGAGAAGGTAAACTTCCCGGGGGAGGGGCTTTTTAAAGCCTTGTGTTTGGGCAAAGTCATCACACCTGTGAGCAGTTTGTCATCAGATTGTAGTTTTTCTGTTCGAATTATCTGTTGTTTACATGCTGCTCAGTTTGATCTTCGGTGGATAAAAACGGTCACACTTAATGAATCATCCATTTGCAGAACAGAAGAGTGCAACATGAGACCTCTTAAGAAACATGAGTGCATTCCTTTAAAAGAAATGTAAATTGTGTTTGGTTTTTTTTGGTTTTTTTTTAAACACTTCGTGAACTCTGTAGACCTTACGTGTGCATCACTGTGGCAAAAAGAAAAAGCTGTCTCTTACATCTTTGTTGGAACAGCTGTGCTCTTTGTCAATGACAAGTTCTCTGTGATGTTCACCCTTTGCTATCTCATGCTCTTTTTTTGACTTGCTGACATCAGGGGAGTTTGGACAACCCTAATTTAGACAACGCTTCAAAATATCTGCCTGAACAAGTACTCAGAAATATTTCAATATGACTGTAGAGTGGCAAGGCTTGTTACTAAGAGATCTTTGGCAGTGGAAAATATTTACAGCTCTGATGATATTAATACCTCAGCCGGTCACAGCAGATGGCTTTTACACTGCAGCTGCAGCCACTAGAGCGCAGGGCGCATCACCTCTGCCTGTTCGGTCAGCAACATCAGTTTGTTGCTGATCTGACTACAAAGTAAAGCGTCTCCTTCATTATGCTGTGGTAACATTTAATGTTTCACTGTTATAATGTGTGCAGCACTAACCTTAGAAATAAACAGCAGCACTGAGAGTTTATTTCACCGCTCTGTGTGCTGCATCGTCAGGTTGCTGCAGCATCCATTGCTTGATCTTTTGCAACACTTACATTTTACTGTTTATTTTTTCAGATTCTTTATAGAAGATCATTTTGTCATCATCTGATTGGAGTAGACATGCAGCTCATTTTGTGTGGGAGAGGAGTCATGTGACCCATGAAACACAACATTTTATGAGTTTGTTCAGAGTTGAAAGCTCCGCTTCAGAAAGAAAGCTGATAGCCACTGTAGTGATGCCTATTAGTCTAAAAACTACAATAGAGTTAAAGTTATCTGCAGATCAGATGCATCTGGAAGTAAATATATTTCTGTGCTATTGACATGAAGTTTTCACCAGAAGTCAGTAACAACCTGTCCAATCCACACATGCAAAGAATTCAAAGCCAAGGAAAGTCATGACACCAGCAGAAGTGCATCAGGACTGAAAGCAATTTTTGCCACTCAGTGCAAATTAATATCAGCTGATTCAGTCCCAACTAGAATTGGTGATTGTTCAAAATTTATTTTATCCCCCTTATTTCAGTAGAAACATCAGAACTAATATCTAAACAGATACCATAGTTTGGGTAAGTTGTTGCTATCCTAATGTGCATTTTAAAACGAAGAACTGTGCTAGCTCTTTGGTTTACCTTTACAAGGAGCAGTATGCTAACCACCAAAGTCTTTGTTGCCGATTATATCTGGATTTCATGAACTGAAATGGAAATTGAAATGACTGTTTCCTAAATAATTACAGGAAGCGTGATTATTTAGGTGCGTGATCAGCTGTTGAAGAGAATTTTGATATTTACACTAAACTCCTGTTTGATTTGCTGCATTTCTCCAACAGAATTTATTAGACATGATGATTCAAGAAGAGGAATCTCTGAAAAAGAGGCTCATCCTTAGCCTTCAGACATGCAAAACAGAAATGGAGAAACTCTGCTTGGAGCTTCAGCTGCCCGTGTTCGAGGTAACAGCGCGTTTCCATCTCAACGTGTTTAACTGGAAACTGAATCAAACATTTAATTACACGTCATCGAGCATCTTCCTTGGCAAATGACTGATTATATCATTGATATTCAACAAGCTTAACCTGCTTCCTCCTTTTGCTGTAAAACCATTTCTAACTTCATGCCTGTCAGTCACTGTAGTTACCAGCTGATGTCTTTAATGACAATTTAGTGACTTTAAAAAAAAAAACCAAAAAACTTTTTGCTGTTAAATTTGTTTGCATATTAAGGAAGAGGCTGGCATCAGCATGCTCCAGCAAGAGAAGAACATCCGCACACAGGTGGAGGCCCTGATAAAGGAGAAGGCTCGGCGGATGCAGCAGCTGAAGGCTCTGCTGGAGCAGGACCAGGACCTGTGCGACGTCCTGTGCTCCGTGCCGTACGGCATCGCTCCCGACTCCGTCCCCTCACTGGAAACACTGGACAACTTCCACCAGCACATCGCCAACCAGAACGAAGAGAGGGTAGGACCTCGTAGTTCAAACCACACCTCTAACAGAACATTAATGTGGCTGCATGAAGAGAAACTGTGGGATGAACACTGCTACAAGCAGGAGAGATGTCACTGGACAGGCTGAGATCAGTCTGGGTGCAGCACTGTTTGATGAGCAGGTTTTGTTTCTTCCTCTTTGTTACGTCACATTTTGACTGCTTCATGTTTCCAGGTGAAGCGACACGCTGAGTTCACGGAGCTCAAAAAGCAGATCATTTTATACATGGAGGAGCTGGACCGTGTCCCCGAAACCAGCTTTGAGAAGGACGTGGTCTGTGAGGATGAGGACTCTTTTTGCCTCTCTAGAGACAACATTACATCACTCAAACTGCTTCTTTGCCAGGTGAGCAGAATCTTTTTCTTTTTTGCATAAATCGTCATTTCAGCCCAACCTGTTGAGTTGCTAACTGATGCTGTGTTGATTTTGCAGCTTGAGGAACACAAGGCAGAGAACGAGGCCATGTGTGAGAGTCACAGAGAGAAGATCCAGCAGCTGTGGGACAGACTGCAGGTTCCACAGGAGGAAAGGGAGGCTTTCAGCCAATACATGGTCACGTCCAAGAAGAGGAATTTAGACGCGGTGAGAAGATGCAGATTATTTTTCCTGTTCTTTGTGGACAGCTGTGAGTTCCAGTTCTGTGGCTGCGGTTTTTCCGTGTTATTTGATCTTTATTTGTCCTCCTCAGTTACAAACAGAAGTCCAGCGTCTCGAGGAGCTCAAACTGCAGAACATCCGCAATGTCATAGATGCCATCCGCTCTGAGATCGCTGTCTTCTGGGAGAAGTGCTTCCTCAGCACAGACCAGCGGCAGGCTTTCACACCATATTTTAGTGGTGGGTTTTCTTGTTTGTCACACATTCTTTTCGCCTTTTGTTCAGTTTTTTAAACTGAAGCTGACTGATTGTTTTAGAGGACTTTACTGAAGATCTGTTAAGTCTGCATGATGCTGAGATCCAGCGCTTGAAGCAGCATTATGAGGATCACAAAGAGCTTTTTGAAGGGGTTCAGCAGTGGGAGCAAAGCTGGAGACTCTTCCTGGAGCTGGAGGTGAGTTTGACAGGAAGCTACGTCCATGTATAACACTGACACAAAATTAGGTTGTTTTATGTCTACTGAAACATTTGAATTATAGTTAGATCATGGACACGATGTGTAGACTCAGCTTTCATTCTAGAGTCTCTGACGTGTTTAGGAGCTGAAGCTCCTCCACGTGGGTTTTTTTTTTTGTTTTGTTTTGTTTTTTAAGGGACCATCGGCAGGTGTGTGCGATTCCTCCGTTATATCATATATCATCAGTTTAACAGATGGACCACAAGCCAGAACATACAGCCAAAGCAAGCCAGCAGTTTATTAATGCAAAGAAGAGGAATATTCTTTATTGGCCAAGTCAGTCAGCTGATCTTAACCCAACTGAGCGTTTTACTTGTTGAAGACTAAACTTCACAAACAAACAGGAAGTGAAACGCACTGCAGTAAAGGCCTGGCAGAGCTTTAAAAAGGAGGAAACCAGCATCTGGGGATGTTCAAGACTTCAGGCTGTCAAAGCCAGCAAACAGTTTACAAGCAACTATTAGTTTGTCCAATGACCTTTGAGCCCCTGAAATGAAGGGGTTGTGTTAAAATGCTTTATTTGGTCACATTTTTTTCCAGTCTTTTTGTTCAACCCACTGAATTTAAGCTGAAAGTCTGCACTTGATCTGCATCTGAGTCGTTTCATTTAAAATTCACTGTGGTGATGTACAGAACCAACATTAGAAACAAGTTGTCTCAAAATATTTATGGACCTCTCTATGTGCTGTGACTGGTCTTAAATCTCACTCAGATAATTGTTTTTAATTATAAATCTGTTATACAGATTATGAACATGTGTGGCAGGAAAAGTTCATACAAATAAAACATGAATATCCATGTTTCATCACTTTAAATGAACATTTCTGAATTCATTTGGAAACATTTGTCACTCCCTTAATGAACATGTTCTATTTGGTAATGCTGCTTCCAGGTCCATCTCCATTTCTTTCACTTTCTTTCTTTTCTTCAGAAAAAAGCAACAGATCCATCGAGGTTCACTAACAGAGGAGGAAATCTTCTCAAAGAGGAGAAACAGAGATCTGACCTGCTTAAAAGCCTGCCAAAGGTAAAGAGCAAAGCCACCTCTTTCCTGAGCTAATAATATCCTGTAGCATTAATCACGTGTGTGTGCGCGCGTCTTTCCTTTTTAAAGATTGAAAAGAGATTAAAAGCCCAGATCGACACGTGGGAACAGGAGCAGGGTCGAGACTTTCAAGTAAACGGCCAGAAGTTTCTGCAGTACGTGGAGGAGCAGTGGGAGCTGCACCGAATAGAGAAGGAGAAGGAGAAGCTGGAGAGGGTAAGAGTGTGTTTGTATTAAAAGCTTACCCATGGTGTTTGCTAAGGGTGCTGATGATTTGTCTTTCCACAATCTCTGCAGCACATTAAGAAAAGCAAACAAACGGAGGAGGACATGTTGTACGGAACCGCAGTACGAACACCAACCAAGCGCAGGTTCCTGGGCACCGCCACCCCAAATAAATCACGAAAGATGGTAAATGTCAGCTTGTAGTCGGGGTTTTGATTCTTGCTGTAATTAAGCCGCCGTCTCTGCAGCACTGACCCTGCTTCGTCTCTCTTATCAGGGTAATGCGACCTCCAGCATCTCTAGTGGCACCTCTAACAGCACAATGCGCTCTGTCTATGGTGGGACTGTCTGCCGCTCGCCGGCGCCGCGCCCTCCCCTCTCAGCAAACAAGGTTGGCTTGATTTTTGGGAAACTTGTTCACATCGAAAGCATGCTCACTGATATTTGAGCCTCGGATGTAAAATATGTTAGATGTTTTTCCTGGTTTGTCTTTGGAGTCAGTTAAACACAAAGTGGTCAAATTGATCCATCAGCTCGATATAGACACCAATTGCCTAACTTATTATAACCTGTCTATTTTACTGCTTCATGCTAAAATGTACCATAGTTGCATCGTGTTGTGCGACTGTTATATTTTACTTATCAGCAGAGTATGCCTATAAATGCTTCAGGACGTTTACACGTGTTGTCTTATTTTTCGTCTCAGTGGTGCAGAAACCTTTCATGATTTAAAAATATTCTGTTTGAATGAATTAAAGTACAAACAGTGTATTTATCAGTGCTTTGGGGAATTGAGTGAGTTGGTGTAAAGAAGCAACAACTCTGTATTTCTCTGATGTGACTCTGTCCTCCTCCATCAGACCCTGGCAGTGCGGACACCGGGGGGCTGTAAACCCCCCCACCCAAGACTGCAGGGATGCAACAAAGAGAATGAGGCCCAGCTGAAGGGCAGCAGCCCTCTGAGGGGTGCGTTGCTGACTCCTGCTAGTCCACAGCGTAACTTCAGCATAGCCTCTGTTGCCAGCACATATTCAGAGTTTGTGGTAATTTAACACTTTTGTCTCTGCATGTCTTTATTATTTTGGTCCCTCTGTTTCTGTGCAATAACATTTTAAAGCATAAAGTCAAGGATGAAGTACACGATAATGCTTATGCTGTACATTTGTATTTTAGAGGGACTTGGTCAGCACTGAATCTGTTCAATCAAGGTGTGTTTAAAGTCCTGAAACTTTGCATAATCCTAACTAATCGCCTTAATCTGCTCTAACTGCATGCTTTAAACCAAAGACAGAAATCACCTTAAAGATAAAATTAGCAATTAACTTTCTTAAACGTGATGGCACAGATTTATGGGTAGCATAGATTAACAGTGGGTTACTCAGACACTGTGTTAATTTACTAATCGTTGATATAGTGGATGTGAATCAAGGCTTCTGAGCCCTCTGTATCAGGTTTCTTTGCGCTGCATGTCATAGACGGGGAACCTCCTTAGTGTGGAGCTGTGGGGTCTACATTAGTGACTGTGAGCGCAGGAGCTCCCGTCCATCTCCTGTTCAACTTTTCTGCTTATCGGATCGGAAGAGATTTGGCTCGAAGGAGCTGAAACACACTGTCCAACTGAGGGGCTCCACGAAGAGCAGTGTGACGTGAATAAAGATTTATTTTAGACTGTAAATAATCCAAAGCTCTTTTGAGTTTACTTTATTTCATCAAGTCTTCACTGTGACAGCACAAGCAAACTAAACAAATCCACAATCATGACCCTGTCCACAGAGGAAGCACGTACATGTGAGAGCAGCTAGCTAAGCTCATACTAACAGCTAAACGAGGCTCTCTTTGGGCTTCTGTGATTGGCTTTTGCTGCCATCGTCACTGAAGGTTCTCCAAAATGTCACCATTAACCGTTGTTGGGTGTGCCGACATGTCAGCGACGGCTAATGCAAGTTCAGTGTTTAGACACCTTTATTCATCTGCACTGCTGTTGCTGCTAGCACTACTTAGATGAGCAGCACTTTAATATCTGTGTGATTGTCTGATTTACACTAACAGTGTGTGTCTTGTCTTTTCCAACGGCCCGCACACGTATGTGACGTCACGCTCACGCCTGCTCGTTTTTCCACAGCGAGACCTGTCCAAGGCCTCTGACGCCAAGATCCAGCACGGCATCCTGAACTCCACCACCACCAACCTTTGACCTCTCCGCTCTGATTGGTTAAAGTTGAGGTCTCGTTCAACAAGTGTCACTACCTTTCACAGCGATCTGCTTGTCCACGTAAATGAAGGCATTAATATATTATGTGTTAAATGTTTGAGAGCAAAGGCCTGAGGAAGCTTTTTGATGTTTGCCTGTCACTGAGAACAGTCAAACCAACACTACTTTGGCTGTATAATTTTACAGTTATTCTAATAGTATTGTCCATATCTTATACTGCACATTGTTGTTTTTTAGAGAAACAGTTGAATAAGAAGTTTAGCTTTATAAAGTTATGCAATCTGGGGCTGCAGGCCATATATGTATGATGACTGTATTGCACTTTGTTTAGAAAATATATTGCTGCGATTAGTGTAATTTCACACAGACTCACACTGTTCCCTCGGTCTTTTTTTTTTTTTCCCTAAATGTTTCTGTATATGTCTCTATGCTGTTTGTGTTTTTTAAGCTAATTCATAAAGATTTCAGGCTGTCAGGACTTTAAAGCCCCTTTTTGGACATGAAAAGGTTTCAGTGACACATTTTTCATGGCTTCATTCAGACAAACCCTCTATAGCAGTGGTGGGCAACTCCAGGCTTCGAGGGCCGGTGTCCCTGCAGGTTTTAGATGTGTCCTTGAACCAACACAGCTGATTTAAATGGCTAAATTAGCTCCTGCAGTTCTCCAGAGGCCTGGTAACAAGCTAATCATGTGATTCAGGTGTGTTGACCCAAGGTGAGATCTAAAACCTGCAAGACACCGGCCCTCAAGGCCTGGAATTGCCCACCCCTGCTCTATAGTAACAGAGCTGTGTTACACCATGTTTGCCTACATGCGTGACACCGTCACGTCTCTGGTGACGTGCAACTGAACTTTTGAATGTTTGGTTTTCTCCACTATTCTCATTAACAGAGCAAACTAAGGATTAGCACGTGTGCAGGTGTAAGTCTTTGTGCGCTTCAGTTTCAGGCTTGTGTCACGTTCAGATCTGCACATATGGGTCCATCCTGGTAAAGTTGCCGTGATGACTCCTGCTGCAAAATGCTGCCATCAGATTATGAGAAAAGGAATGAGTGTCTGAGAGGGGCTTTAGGTTACATGTTTGAAATCACAGAAACGTCATATCACGGCTGAATTTGGAAGCAAGAAAAATAAATGAATACATTTTTCACTCAAAGACTCTTGTATCTGAGTAGATGGAGGAAAAACAACAAGGGTGTAATGTGTGACAACAAAGAAACTGGTTGGAGAAAAAAAGGCCGCCCTCTAACATTTTGTGGAGCCCATTTGGAGATTATTTTTAAAAACATATCAAGACACACAAACCCCAAAGTTTTCAGAGGGTTCTCACAGGTTTAGCCAGTGTGTAGCACAAACATGTTTGACATCAGAGGCTCTGGTTGGGTCGTATGGAATGCCAGGACTGACATAATGAATTAATTAAACACGCCATTAAATACACTCAACAAAAATATAAACGCAACACCTTTGTTACTGCTCCCATTCCCCATGGGATGGACGTAGAGACCTAAAATTCATTCCAGATACACAATATAACCATCCCTCCCAAACAGTGGTCACAAATCAGTCCAAATGTGTGGTAGTGGGCACATCTGCTATATTGAGATAATCCATCCCACCTCACAGGTGTGCCACATCAGGATGCTGATCTGACATCATGAGTAGTGCACAGGTGTCCCTCAGACTGCCCACAACAAAAGGCCACCCTGGAATGTGCAGTTTTGTCTCACAGTCAAAATGCCACAGATGCCACAAGCAATGAGGGAGCGTGCAATTGGCATGCTGACAGCAGGAATGTCAACCAGATCTGTCGCCCGTGCATTGAATGTTCATTTCTCAACCATAAGCCGTCTCCACAGGCGTTTCAGAGAATATGGCAGCACATCCAACCGGCCTCACAACCGCAGACCTCGTGTAACCACACCAGCCCAGGACCTCCACATCCAGCAGGTTCACCTCCAAGATCGTCTGAGACCAGCCACCCAGACAGCTGCTGGAACAATTGGTTTGCACAACCAAACAATTTCTGCACAAACTGTCAGAAACCGTCTCAGGGACGCTCAACTGCATGCCCGTCGTCCTCATCGGGGTCTTGACCTGACTCCAGCTCGTCGCCGTAACAGACTTGTGTGGGCAAATGCTCACATTCGATGGCGTCTGGCACGTTGGAGAGGTGTGCGCTTCACGGATGAATCATGGTTCACATTGTTCAGGGCAGATGGCAGCTGAGAATGTCCCAGTTCTTGCATGGCCAGCATACTCACCGGACATGTCACCCATTGAGCATGTTCGGGATGTGCTTGACCGGCGTATACGACAGCGTGTACCAGTTCCCACGAATATCCAACAACCTCGCACAGCCATTGAAGTGGAGTGGACCAACATTCCACAGGCCACAATTGACAATCTGATAGACTCCATGCGACGATGTGTTGCACTGCATGAGGCAAATGGTGGTCACACCAGATACTGACCGGTTCTGGGTCCCCAGACCCCCAATAGCGCAAAAAACTGCACATTCCAGGGTGGCCTTTTGTTGTGGGCAGTCTGAGGTACACCTGTGCACTACTCATGATGTCAGATCAGCATCCTGATGTGGCACACCTGTGAGGTGGGATGGATTATCTCAATATGCAGATGTGCCCACTACCACACATTTGGACTGATTTGTGACCACTGTTTGGGAGGGATGGTTATATTGTGTATCTGGAATGAATTTTAGGTCTCTACGTCCATCCCATGGGGAATGGGAGCAGTAACAAAGGTGTTGCGTTTATATTTTTGTTGAGTGTAATTAATTAAATGTGGCAATAAATAAACATTGTAAATAATGAATTAATTATTGGCACATTTAATTAATTATTTAATAATGTATTTAATTTATTTTGGCACTATTGTCCCCTTCATGTCTCGCGTTGAAATCATCTTATCTGTCAGCCTCACCCATCAAACTGGGGGGGAACGCAGCTTCTATAACATTTGATTGGTTGCCGTGCAAAGTAAGTCAAGACAGGTCGATCTTAGATAATCGATTGCTTGTGTGAACTTGGGGCAGCCAGGTATCGAATGCATTTCAAATCACAGGCAGCAATGTTGGTGGTGTAAAGTTTTGAAATACCCCGTTTTTCTGTCACCAGCTACACTTTTAATAGTGTTTTAGCCGCGAATGTAGCGCCGTAATCTTCACACATCTGGTCAGGTTGTCGACATAGAACATGTTTGCAAAAGTGCTCAGCTAACAGTCAGCTGACAGAGTGCACCGAGCTCACAGCCCCGGTGTTCCAGCTTCACTGTTTGTTTTGGGGGAAAGGGGGGTTAACCGGTTTGTTTACATATTCCACTCTCCGTGTTCCACATGTTGCATTCGCAGATTCTCATTTTCACCGAACGATCGTCTCTTTCCGCCTGGTCTTGTGTCTCTGTGCTTCTGTAACATAAAGAACGAGCTGACATTTTTCTCACGAAACCAGCGATCAGCTCAACAGACCCTCAGTTTACCTGCATGCATCCTCCTCCTCACCTGTCAGCTGTTTAACACCTGCTGCTAATTCAAGAAACACGCCTACGTTACCTGGTGATAGTCACAGTTTAACTGGGCAGCCGGTGCTCGATATAAAGCAATGTCAGCGCATTTTTCTGCACAAGATAAGTAAATATAGTGTTTTCCCCGAGCGCAGAGCTGCTGGAGCTTGTTTCCTTACAGAGCACTTTATAGGCGAACCAGCTTCATCAGCGGCTGATGTCCAATCACCGGCACACAGCTTTGAAACCTCAGCTGAGTTTTAGCTCTCAGTGGTTAAACGCTGGACTTAATTCACTCAGGTTCTGTCTGTCGGGTCACGTTTACTTCGCTGTTTTATTTACAACCGAAAGCAGGGGCGATTCTAGGATCAGAGCTTTGGGGGTGCTGAGCACCCAGAGAGCTGCCCAGCCAGGCAAGATAAACTTCAAGATGAGACTTCTTCCCCATCTCTGTCAGTCCCTGCATCCTTAAATGTCTCCAGTTGTTCTGAGTTCTCTCTGACTGTCTCCTTGGTGCATTTAAACCCCTGTTCCTCCCTGTCCTCGTTGTCTGTTGTCTTCGTCTCCATTATCAGTCATCATAATTTTACATAATTTTTTGGACAGAGATTCACTTTTAAAGTGTATGTATAATATAATACAGATACATAAAAATACACTCCAAAAATAGAGTCCTTGAAATGTACAAATGTACAAAATATTGATAAAAAAAATTATAAAAATGGGGGCAACTTTGCCTATGGTACAATGTATGAAAAGATCTTTACTGCAGATGCTACTATGACTCTGAAGATTTTTTATTTTATTTTAAACCATGTCACCTCACCTTGAGGTTTGCAAATCTGCCACTTTTGGTGGTCAACTCTCTCAAGCAGGTTAACAGTTTCTGTTTTGCCTGTCACTCTTCCCTGTCTGTTTTCATACCTGGTTCTTCCTGACCTTGTACTCTCTCCTCATGTTCCCCCCATACCTCTTTCCCTCTTTGGACTGACAATAATACACAAATAGATTGTATTCAATTAGATGAAAAAATTACATTAATGTGAAAAAAAATATTATTAAGATCACTAGTAAAAAAAAAAGTCCTCTCTCAGTGTACTTTCAACCGAAAGGCAAATAACCCAACCACATGTACATCTAATAAAAGATATAAATATTGAAACACTGATCCAACATTATCCTTTATTGACAGATCATTTGTTCTTACACTTTTACCTGAATGTTGCTTCTGGGTATCATATTGGCACATATGACAAAATAACCAGCTTCTCTCTTTCCATTTCAAACAGGACAGTGGTAACAGCAGCAGGCTACGGACAATTTTAAGTTTTAGATTTTAAATAGTCTGTATAAATGTCAATGGGAGCAACAGGACGGTCAAATGTAGCTGATTTTACTACAGAGCAGGACGGATTGTAGGGTAGCAAACATCGTCGGGAAACACGTTTTCAACACTGCAGGTTACCTGGTGTAATGTTTTTCAGCTAAAAAGAAACATGGCCTGACTCCTACCTAACTATATAAAGAGTAACTGAAGGTTAAATGCAGCTAATATGTCCTGTTTTAAGCCAGATGCTCACACCTCCACTCAGCTGTGTCTCAGCCACTATAGCTCTTACAGCAACAGTGCTAGAGCCAGAGCAGGGGAGAGGCGAGCTGGAACAAACCATTTTTTGGGTGGTGGGAGGGGGTTATCTATACTTTTGTTGTTAAAATGTTACGTCTCAACCAAGTACTGAATGATTTTTATATTTTTAGTAGTGTGTCACACAAACAGCAAAACTATTGTCAAAAAAAAAAAAAGAGTAAAAAATCTTTGGGGGTGCTTTGATTCATTTTGGGGGTGCTGAAGCACCATTTTGGGGGTGCCATGTTCTGACTGAGAGATTTTTAAACTAATTCAAATGTACAGCTCTGCTATCACTTCCAACATAAATGAAGACAGAAAACTAAACAGCAGTGGCGTTTGCAGGGTTACTGAAGTTGGGCGACCTGGTATATAATGTTGTGCTACGTGATTGCTAGCGACACAGCTATGTTAGCATAACATTAGCACAGTGAAGCTGGAGGATGAACCACAACTTTTTTTCCACTCGATAAAAGTTAACGTGAGGGATTCTGGTGGTCAGGGACAAATGCAATCGCATAGCAGGCCAAACTTCAGTCAGGAGAACAACTGAGATTATTCATCCACAATACAGGGTTAATACACTGCAACAACATGGGAATAGAACAGCTGTGAGAGAATTCAACATTAATTTTTGAACAAAACTGAAAACAGAGCCAATTAATCTTTCAGTCATTTCTAAGCACCCCCCCCCAAAAAAAAAAAAAAAAAAAAATCCCACATGCATACTACCCTTTAGGGCTAAGCCCCGGGTGTTTCAAATGTCTGGCTCCACCTCTCCAAACTGTGAGTAGGGCTGGGTATCGTCACTGATTTCTAGAATCGATTCAATTCCGATTCTCAAGGTCCCGAATCGATTCGATCCACGATTCGATTTAATTCGATTTGATTTAAATCTGGGAAATTTTGACAGTCAGAAATATTATAATTCAGATCAGTACATTTGCATATTTTTGTATCAATAAAAAGGAAGCTGACACACGCAAGACTTTATCACAGGTGTAAGCGTCACAGCAGATGCCTTTGTGTCAAAGTAGCTGAAGATAAAACACAGAAAAACATGAAGGTTTTCCTGGCCTGGGATTTATAAAAATATTCTGCAGTACATCAAAAACGAAAGAAAACCATTAATCAACATATGAACATTACCCATTAATCGATGAATCGATTATAAAAACCCACCCCTAACTGTGAGGTCAGGAGAGGGGACTGAGACCTGAAGCTTCTGCCTACCATTCTACTTTTAGAATGGTAGGGGTGTTGCTGGGCTGTTGTTTTCATATTTTAACTAGCGAGATTTTCTGACGTATCTTTGGCAGATACCGTGATTTATTTCGACGATAAGAAAGCGCAGTGACAAATCAGGCTTTTATTTTGGAATAGTTTTTGACAGATTAAATTTTAATGTGTAAAAAAAAAAGTTCTGACAGTCCTTTAAAAAATGTGATATATGAAGTTGTTGTACTCATTATATATGTTCGACTTTGCACCTTAACATCAGCTGGTCGAGCAGAAAAAATATTCTGATTTGAGACTGAATCTATGGATGGAAGGTCAGTGTGTTTATGTTGAAGGGGTAGCAGTCGGCGGAAGTCGTGCTTCAGGAGGAGGAAGCTGACAGCATGTGGGATGAAGGCTGCGAAGCACACGCCGCACAGCAGCACGGAGGAGTAATGATGAGAGGCTGAGCTCTCCACAGCACAAGTTCAGTTCTTACACGACTCGTCAGAAAATAGCTCAGCCATGTCGGGAGTGTTAGCACGGCTGCTCTTCTACCCCACGTTAGCCTACAACGTTGTCATGGAGAAGGTGTCCTCGAGACGGTGGTTTGACCGAGTGGATGAAACTGTGATCCTCGGAGCGCTGCCGTTCAGGTCCATGACCAAACAGGTCCGCCTGTCAAACACTGAAGCTGCTAGCTAGCGCTCCACTACGCTAACGACTCTTTAGACCAGCTGCCGAGCTAGCCTGCGCTAACGAGGCGGCATTGACTTTGTTCTAAACAAATGTTTTGACAAGTTGTTATAGTAGTGGTGTGTGTGTGTGTGTGTACAATTTCAAAGAAATGCTGTAAAGACAGTAATATGCGAAGCCACAATTATGAAATAGTAACTCACAGTGAGTAGGTCATTATCTCAATCAGCGAATATTGTGATTTGTGGGTGATTCTCACCATCTTCGATCCAGCTGAAGCAGAAACCGCTGTAACACCGCCTCAGTTATCTAACAAGCTAACATATCAGAAACAGAAACGGTCTCGCAGTTCAGTAGTTTTTGCCCATAGTTGGTCCTCTTGGATCATCAGACCTCTGACGGTCAACATGATTTATTAGGTTTGTTTTTCTTCAGTAGTCAGACAGAGCACACAGTGCAGTGTGCATCAGTAGAAAAACACTAAGACTAATGTTCATACTATGTTTAGCATTAATTCACACACCGCTGTTGCTATTGTTCTGCTGCTCTGTACCTCCGCCCCTTCCTTCACGATGCCCCATCAGTGCGTCCTGCCTACAGCCACTGTGGCCACTCCAGCACCACCCACAGATGCACATTTGGCCACTTATTTGTGTGTTTGAATACTTTGCACCCAAAAAGCTTTTGAATGGCCTTTTCCCGAGCTAAGGGCTTTCCTTTTATAAAAGTAATTTTGGTCCCAGCAAAGAAGCTTTTGGATAATTGTAGGACTGATTTCTAAAATGTTTTTGATTATTAAATGATAGGCAAACATCCCTTCCTCAGTGTGAGGAATACAGCTTATTAATGTAAAGACTCTTACACAAGGAACATGCTACCATACCACCTTTATTTATAAAGCACTTTAACATAAAACCAGAGTTCACAAAGTGCTGTACATGCAAAATGGCCTAAGTAAAGTAAATAAAAATAAGATAAAATAAATTAAATAATTAAAATAAATTAAAACAAATTGAGTCAACCCCTTTAATCAGTGCCAAAGGCTTCAGCGAATAAATATGTTTTAAGAAAACTTTTAAACTCAGAAAGAGAAGAGGCCTGTCTAACGTGCAAGGGCAGATCATTCCACAACTTTGGGTTGGCTGCGTAAAAATGCCATGAAACACACACTGAACGTTGTGCTTTTGTCACATTACACATACTGGATATTACCTGTTACATGATTAGAATAAGGACCACAGGCATCTTTCTCCTTAGCTCAGGTAAGATGCCTGTTTATGAGTGGCTGATATTATTGAAGTCGATGGCTGTGGTCCCTTTGCTGTGTACATTGTGACACTGACACCACCTTCAGTCTACTCCTTGGCAAACTCTCATGTCATGTGTGTTGTTTGTGTATACTTTTCCCTTCTAGTCAACTTCCCATAAATATTTGCACACTGTGAACTGACAGCTTTTGCAGCAGTGACTGTGGTGGCTTCTGGTGGTTGTTGAATTTTGCCATCTGAGCATCTGGTAAGTCAGCAGTCTTCCTCATGGCTGTGGACTCCAGATGAAATATTCTAATAATTTGACATACCAGATTTATGTTTTTTGTGATCATCAAAATGAAATAAAAAAAAATCTTGGAAAAAAATGAACTTTTACACAATATTGCCATTTTCTGAGATGCACCAGTGTTTGCATAAAGAGCAGAGAAGGAGACTGGAAATATATTTTGTCAAGACCTCATAAAAAATGGAATAAAGGAGAGAAAGAGTATTTAGAGTGCCGCTCTCGTGGCAGTTGCAGTTTTCAACTCTGAGAGCTGATGGCCTGTTTTTGCTTTTGCAGCTGGTGGAAACAGAAAATGTTCGAGGCGTGATCACCATGAACGAAGAGTACGAGACCAAATATTTCTGCAACTCAGCCCAGGTGAGTTCCCTTCGTTTGAGTTCCCATTATTAAGTTAACGTG